CTTGCTCCCGCGCTGGCTTTTGCTCCAGCCTCTGCTGCGTCTCTTGCGCATGCTCCTGCTCTTGCTGTTGCTGTCGCTTTTGCTCCTCTCTTGCACTTACTCCCGTTCTTGCTTTTGCTTTGCTCTTGCAGCTGCTCTTGCTTATGCTCCCGCTCCTGCTCTTGCTCTAACTCGTGCTCTTGCTCTCGATTTTGCTCCTGCTCTTGCTCTTACTGTGCTCTAAGGGTATTTGGAGCCTCGAAACCATCCCCCTAGTTCAGACCAGGACTAGGATTTAAAGGGCAGGGATGATTTCGGGAGGATTCGCCAATGTGTTTTATCATTTGGGGGGTGTTTAATAAAAGGGGGATTACTTAATTCTCAAATAACGAACATGCAGACGCACGTGTATATCTTTATGCGTACGTACGCATGCACGCATGCACACACGCATGTGCGTGCACGCATGCACGTGCACGCGAACAAAGACAGACAGACAGACACAGACAGACATAGACAGACACAGACAGACACAGACAGAGACAGACAGACACAGACAGAGACAGACAGACACAGACAGACACCGGGACACAGACACAGAGACACAGAAAGACACGGAGACACGGACACAGGTACACAGAGACACAGAGACAGACAGACATGCAGGCAGCACGCAGGCAGGGAGGCAGGAGGCAGGCAGGCAAACAGACCGAGGGAATAAGACAGAGAGTGAGAGACAGAGAGACCTTTTTGTCGCCCAGCAAGACGAATTGGCACAACAACAGACAGCGACAGACAGAGACTGTATACTAGTGACTAGTGTGTGCATGCCTGGTCTTGTGCTCAGGCCATCAGCGGCTCAAGTGGTCCCAGGAGTCGGCGGCACGAGGAGGATCCCAGCACAGCACTCCGCCCTTTGTCCGCTCTTTGTCCTTTGTTTGCGGCACAGGTGTCGACACACTCACACTTCACGCACCTGCGCTCCCCTGTGCTCTCCACTGCAGCCAGCTTGAAGATGAGAGGCCGCGGCCACAGTTGCTGCTGCGTTTTGAGGCTGTCGCAGCCCACGGATTGTTGCGCCCCGCCACCTACGGATTTTTTGGCACACAGGGGTGTGGAAGGCTGGGAGTTGCCAAGTTAGCGGAGAAAAGTTGTGACGAATGATACACGTCTTGCCAATGGACAAGGACGAGCGCTCGCTCCGCGCTGCATGGGCTGCTGCACATGCAGCCACCCCTTCTGGTCGTTGCTGTGTTGGCGGCACCTACGTGGTGCTGAAGATGGCCTTGGACGTACATGCTTGTGCCAGGTGCGCTGGTCTTCGCAAGGGTTGACAGAGATGGAGGTGGATCACGAGAAGCAGGCTCGAGCACGAGATGTCAGCGTGGAGGCAGCGTGGAGGTGACGAATCCCATATGCCTGTGCAAAGGAGGCCTACCTGGATAAGGGGGTGCCTTTTCGGCAGTCTACACTCTGGGCCGACTCCGATGAGCCAGGCAGTCCTTGACGGTTTGAGATACTAGTAGGAACCTCCCATATCGCCCGTGCGCAGCTGCGGCGGATGATGCAGAAGAGTCTGTGCTGCCAGAAGGAGGGATAGCGCCTGGGCTGCCAACTATAGCTGAGTGTTTCCAGAACTCGATGTTCGAGTGAGCCCATCATGCGCCACAAGTTAAATGTGCGCCAAAACTGTTTCACATGTCCTGGGGTCAATCTTGTCGTCAGAGCAGTGACGTCTCAGGCCTCTGAGGACTTCAAGGAAACGGAGCTGGACGAAACAGGTCGGGCTGCCCTCTTCACTTTGGTAGGTGGCACCTTTTGGGCTCGCTTGACTTGGCAGCTCTTGGCAGCAGGCCGCGTGCTCGAGCTTGGTGGTGGCCTGAAGCCACCGTCTTTGGCGATGGTTCAAAGCCTCTGCACAGGCTGCAGCTGCACGGCTGAACAAGCGTACCAAACATTTTTTCCTTTCGCAGCCAAAGCCCTCTATTCACCTGCTGAAGCGAAGCTGCCAAGAATGTTTCAGCAAATTGCTTTCTACCGGCTCAGAGGTTGCGTCGTGGCGCTTCACGCAGATCAAGCTGCTGAGGGTGCTGTGCGCTTTGCCGTCGAGACGCTTTTCGATATTTTTGGGCCTAAACTTGCAGGACCCACGCAGAGCTAGGGTTGCAGAATGGGAGGGATCAGGACCTTGCAGATCGGCAGATTTGTTTCATTGGCTCTCAGCCAAGGCATGGCCTTGCCTTTGCAGTTGTGCCCTGCTGTGTGGCCGGGCTGAGAGTTTCAGGCTTCAGGCCGTCGCAGACGTCAGTTTCGGATTTATAAGCGTTGGGGAGTACAGAATCATCAGAATCCGAGGTGTACGCAGAAGACTTTCCGAAGCGACGCCTGCCCGACGGGCGGCCAGTCACATCCCTCGATGCGCTGATCGAGTATTTGACCTGGCTGGGTGGCGATGATGCCAAGGCGGGGCCAAAGCACTTGCTCGGTCAGTTTGCAGGTTGCATCTGCGCTTGTCCTGTGGCAGGTGGAAACCTTGCAGTTCAGCGGGAAAAACGTCGTCGTCTTTTCGAAGCCGAAGTGCGCGGTGACCGAAGCTTCTACACGGGCTTAGCAGGCCGACAGGCGCTTTCAGACCCGTGCTTTGCGCTGTTTTGCGCTCGACATACGACGGCGTGCTCGACAGCTCGCCGATACTCCAGCAGTCCGAAGTGCAGAACAACGTCGTCAAGGTGTGGCGGTGTGGCTGGACACATGGTTCGGTCTGCTGCCGGCGGCTTGCCCTCACCAGACAGCTGCTAGCAATCGAGATAGAAATCCCGTCCAACATGCTTGCCGATAGACCTCCCGACGAAGCTGCTACCTCGTGAAGCTTGGAAATGCAATCCCCATCTTGGTTTCGGTGTGGAGGCTGTTGAGCGATCGGTCGCAGAAACCATTCGCCAGCAGGCTGAAGCTTAGAGCGGCGAGCGAGAGCAAAAAGCAAATCTCGGAGCTCTTCGCCTCGTTTTGAGCCCGATTCCGTGGCCGAGGCTCGAGTCGACAAAGCAGCCAGGCCTTTTGCTCAGCAACGGAGTCGACCGTTGTGCCTTGTAGCATTTGTAGCCACGCCTGTAGCCACGCCAGGGACGCTCACTTGTGCGACTTGATGCGTCGTGCTACGGTCGGCAGTGTGCTCAACTCCATGGCATACCTTGGGGCCTCCTCGCAAGGCATCGCGGCTTGTAACTAAGGTGCCACTTTCACGGCGCAGTACCTGCTTAGGTGGGCAGAACCGATGCTTGCGTGACTTGGTGAGCTTTCTGGAACGGCCAGGCCGCCCAAGAAAAAATCGGTGAACCCTCGCGTGCAGAGCCCAGAGCCTCTCATTCCGGGTGCCAAAAAGCAAGCATGAGCCCTTGAATAGAAACCGTCAGAACATACGGTGCCAGGGTGCAAGGTCCTATTCATCCTATTCCCTTTCAACATGGTGCATCAGGTCTACATCTCGCGGATGCAGCTGCTGACAAGTATGGTCACCGAGGCCACCAAAAGTGACCCCCTGACACACGCACACACACACAGAGAGACAGACAGAGCACATGCTTTGAGTAGGGCACATGGTTTGAGGCAGGCATCCAGCCAGAGAGCAAGGAAGGCTTGCCCCTGGACCCCACGGTGCAGCTGGCCATGGACTGGTGCAAGTCTCAAAAGCAGCAAGCGACGGCAGCGGCGGCACCGACGTCAGGGATGACCCATTCTTTCTAACTGCTGAGGTTTAACAACGCCAATGCTGACGTCAGGGAGAGCGCACCGAGCCCAGTCACAGAAAGATGCCGATTTTGCAAGAGCACAATGAAGTTGCCGGTTAAAAAAGCTAGCTTCAGGCAGTGAAGCTGGTTGCCGCTTGCTATGCCCATGCTGGCTTGCGTCGCATTGCTGCCTGGATGATTTGATGCGACATCTTTCTACGGTGACCGTGTTTAGCGTGTGGCAGCTGGGCATATCGCAGCACCCAGGAACAGTACCTGGCAAACCTGCGGCAGGTATTGTCGGGAGAGTGTTTCCCCAAAGGGCCATGTTTTCTGTTTCATGATTCCAGAAGCTCCCATGCAGAGACGGCTTAGGTGACAATTTTCATGTCTGGCTGCAGTCGAACAACCGTTGTCGGTGCATGGGGCACTTCTCGATCAATTGCGACAGGCACAGCGAGAAATCTTCGACGAAGAGTTCGACCGTGTGGATGCAGGCACATAATTGCAGGAGCTTTGCAGGGCCCCGCTTTCCACTGGTTTTGTGACTCGTGTGCGTTTCCGGTGAAGTTCTCCACAGGGCAAGCCGCGTACGTTTCAAGGTGACGGACTCGGAGCCGGTGGCGATGATGGCTTGCAGCAAGAGACCGCAAGGAGAAGCCCTCAAGATCCCTTAAGATTCAGCAACATCTCCCAGTTACACTGGGATCGGCCTGAGGACACAGCGCACGGCCCGAACAGCCGGCAGCAACCGGTCGACGCCGAAAGGCTCTGCCGACGCGTTGTGGGAGCTGCACTCTACAAGCACGTCCCCTGAAACGAAGCACCAGACCTGAAGCTCATGAATGCTCGTTACCGTTACCTGACTTTTCAAGATCATTTCATGTCATCTGCTGTTTCTAGAGGGGGATTCAAAGGCACGATCGGCCAGTTTGATGATGTGCTTAGTACATGTGCTTGTGGACATTGGCATGGACGTCGAAGCATTGCTGTCGGAACTGTGCCTGGCAGCTCGGCTCGAGATGTGACCGACCAGTAGTTGCACCGCTCCAGCGGTGAATGGCGAAGGTGAAGAAGCAGAATTTGAAGAAGAAAGCGAGCCAGGCGTGCCTGGCGGGGCCTAGAGACAAGTGACACCCACAGCAGTGCTGCATTCACATTCCTTCACTCGAGCTCAGAACAGGGAAAGGCCGCTGCCAAAGGCAAGCCAGGCAAGAGCGGAGGCGCTTCGGCAGTTGATGGACCACTAGCCGAAGCCGAGTTCTCGTGCTCCGCGAGGTGCAGGCGGAGGTGGCTCCGGCGTTCCGACCAACAAGAAGTTCGGTGGCCTGGCAGAGTGGCTTATGCTCTTGTCTGTTTGACAGCATTCACGGACAGGTCCACGCAGGTTGCACAGGATTCCTGGACATGGTCATACATTGTCGCATTTTGGCTTCAAGCCGCCCTGGCAGCTACTTCCTAGAGAGGAAACGGCAACTGGCCTGTTTATCCCCTCGCTCATTGAAGCAATTTCCGTAGCAATGCAGTTGATTTTGCTCCACGCGCTTTTCTCATTGGCCGCTGCTGGGAAGTTCCATTCCCTCAGCCGGGCGACCCTGAGCGTGGACACGTCTGCTTCAGTCAACGAACCTGGACCTACCTGGCAGTCTTGTTCGGGCGTAGGCTGCTAAGTCGTAGCATGAGAGAGATAGATCACAAGTTGTGACTCTCCGAATGAGGCGAGCCACTCCACACCAGTCTCGCTTTATTCCAAGCCGCCAGCCTGTCACGAAAAGAAGGTCGTGGGCTCCAGTGACGACAAGCCGCTCGGGATTCTACAGTTTCCAGGGGATGAGAGGTTTCGGCAAGGCTGCCGACACTGCTCCGAGGTTCCTGCAGTGCCCGAAGGAGTGCCCTATCTATGCCGATGACCGTGCAGATGGTGTTGACTGCAACTTCGAGTGTGTGGAAGCAACTCCGAAGGTAGCGAACAGCCAGTTTGCAAGCTGCCTTAGGCCTTAAGCTCAAAGCGATTGTCCCCATGTTTGGAAACGCAGGCGTGCACGGCAGTGAACGCCAAAGAGCCCGTCCCTGATGCCGAGCGTGGCATCTGCCGTGCCTGCATCATCTACGGCTGCAAGACCTGCACGACAGAAGGTCAGGACACTTGCGCTACCTGCGAGTCGGGTTTCAAGCTCAACGCGGCTGGAAAGTGTGAGAGCACCAACACGCGGCTTGAGCTGTGATGAAGTGGATTAAATTAGTTCGGTGTTGTGCGGCCTTGTATTGCTTCCCTGAACCGTCAAGCCTTGCGCCTTCAGGTACTACTGGTATGCGCTCTTTGCAGTGCTTGGCCTTGTGGCCCTGTTCATTGTCGGCTGGATTGTCGACATTGCTCGACGTCCCGTTGTCAATGCTCAAGGGCTCAAGGGCGCGCTTGATGCGCGCTCGCGTTCCAAGGCGGGAATGTGCTTCCCAAAAGATATGCCTCATCTTGCCATATTTTGCCTTGGCTTTGAAGGTGCGAATGCCCAAGCAGTTCGGCTCCGAGGAGGGACGGGATCTTTACCCTCTGGACACCAACCTCCTGAAGACGCCTGTGGCCGGCATTGGAGTGCAGCTCCACTTCAACTTCCAGCTGCTTAGATGCCAGGATCGTTTATCATTTTCATTGTCAAGACGTGTCAGCAGAAGTGGAAGTTTCCTGTTCCATTCCGGTGGCCAGCCAAGGTTCTTCCTCATCGTGTGGGCGCTGGCAATCGGTTTGGCTTGGCTGATTCTTGCGCTTTCGGTGGACGATGCTCTGCTGATCCTCGGAACTCGAAGGGCTAAGACGGCCCGACAGAACTGCATTCTCGTCGACCACTCAGATTCACGCCCACTTCAACACAAGTTGGCAGTGCTTCTTTTGAAATCAACGAATCTGTCCGAGGTTGCCTGGGGCTTCGAAACGCAGCAGCGCTTGATGTGGACGAAGATCGACTTCGTGGTGAGCCTTCTCGGAACACAACATGGTTGACCAGAGTTTCATGCGAGTCATGCCACCCCTTGTCGAAAGAGCACATGCCACGGTCGTAACGAAGCTTGTCCATGTGAGAGTCCTCTCAGTGCTTTTCATCTTGCAGGTGTGTGCCTACATCCTCACCTTCTTGGGCTGTTTGGCCTTTGGCGTCCGCCAGCTGCGCATTTTCCAGAAGGCTGCCGGTGGCGTGCTTGGGTCATGAATCAAACCGGCGGCTTGAAGTTTCAGCCAGATTTAGGCTCTGGTGCTTGGTGCGTACACAGTCGCTTGGGGAACGATGCAGAGGATGTCTGAGGCGGCCGGTGTCGTGTTTGACAGCTCGTGCAGCAATGGCAGGTGGACATGCAAAACTCCACCCACAAAGACTACGCCGCCCGAGTGCGCAACCTCCCGCTGCTTTCCTAAATGGTCCTGACCGGCACCCTGCCTTAGGCCTTGGGACACTCCAGACTTGAGCGCGTCATGAGCCTGCAGACTGTCCAGACACGTTGCGGGAAGCAGCACCATGAACCTGATCCGGCGAGTCCTTGTGTGAAAGCACAAACAATGCAGCCTGTGAGCGCTTATCCGGTAGACTCGCAGACTTTAACTACACTTCATGAGGTTGATGGATGGCACAGAGCCCGTGGAGGAGGAACTTAAGAAGCGGATCGAGGATACTACTGGGCAGAAGGTGCGAGCTCTGCGCGCAGAAGTGTGCTGTGTCGAGGTGGTTGCACTTTGGCAATGCGTGGTCACCCGATCAGGTCGTGGGCGTCTCCGTATGCTGGGACTTTCAGGAGCATGAGGATGAGCTCATGGAACTCATTGAGAGCAAACTCGTCGAGAAGGAGGAGAGACTTCACCCGGCTCTCACAAGTGACCCCGGCACTGATGAGTCAGAAACACACGTACTTCGAAGCCTATCACGGGTGTTCGGGTGTTGTTGGACGCGGTGGCCAAGTCCAAGGTGAGGAGGAGCATCCCGAGCCCGAGAGTTTCTTTGCACGGATGGAGCACTCGATGTTGGCTGCTGATGCAGAGAAGGCGCTCTGCCGGACTGTCGGAGATTCACAGAGTTTGCAGCTGCTGTGGAACTCTAGATAGATAGCTCGGCACAGTCTGCAGGTTGTGGCCAAAGGCGAGATGTCCGAGGAGGCGAGCGGCTAGAAGTGATGCTCCGCTCACTTTTGCTGCTTTCTGCAGCTTTCTCACCACTGGCCGTTTCCCAGCCTGAAAGGAGCAAGAGCATGCCAAGAGGGATGCTGCTGCCCATGCTGGAGATGAGGAGCACGTCGAAGAATGCAAGGACCGCACGGATTAGACTGCAGCTGAACATGGTGGGATTTTGCAATCGTCGCACCTGACATGTGAAGCTTTGCATTTAGAGAACGGGGCCCTTGTTGACACATCATCGGAAACGTCAGGAGGTTGACGTCGTGGCGGCTCTGTGGCATTCAGACAGTGGATAGTGATCCCCCTCCGAGTGTGTGTGTGTGAGCTCCTTGCAATCCGACTTGTCAGGACATCCTGAAGAGTATCAAGACGTGCCCTGATGCCTATGCGATCTTCGAGACTGAAGCGGCGCGTGACGCCGCAGTCGAGGCTGTCCAGAGTGGAGGCATCGAGTTCGCAGGAAACACCATTACCTTGAACGCTTCGCGAGTGGAGCCTCAGACGGTGAACTGGAGGAACTGCGCTAACACTGACCTCGTGGTGAAGGCCAAGCGCATTGGCTTTGGTTTCCTGATTATGCTTGCTGGCCTTTCACTTTGGGTGGTGGCCTTCTACCTGCCTTACGCTTGGTTCACTTTGACATTTAACTACTCCTATGGCCAGGAGCCAGGGTTCGTGGCAGGGATGACCTTCTCCATGGTCGTTGTGGCAGGAAATGCCTTGATGTACTTGGTGTGCAGCGAAGTTGCAGACCGCACCCGGTTCATCTACGTGGATGACAGGGAGGTGTGCTACATGTTGCTCTACTGCTTCGCATGTGTCTTCAACGTCGCCCTCGACCTGATCACCACTTACATGGTGGCTTACCGCATTAATGTTGGCTTGAGGATGAAGACCTACGACGGCACCTTGCTGGAGAACCTTCAGGCCTTCTCCGATCGCTTCGAGTCCTATGCCATGCAGCGGCTCCTGGCAAACAATCTCTATGCCTATGCCAGGGCCTTAGCTTCGCCTTGCTGTACTGATACCTGCTTCCCCATGCTTCTCCAGAGCCAGGCCATGCCCTAATCGAAACCCACTCGAGGCCTTTCCGGCGACGTTCCTCATCCCTTTCTTGATCGAGCCAGTCGCGACCATCTATGCTCCTTACAAAATGATGCTGGCCATTGTGCGAACGCAGCCTTCCATGAAAGGCTTCATGGCTGAGCGTTTGTTGGGAAGCTTGGTCTTCGACCTCTCCCGCTATGCCGATCTGATGCTGGATGTGATGATTGCCGTGTTGATCTTCTTCTTCCCCGGTGGTTTCAACATTCAGATGTTCGTTGGCCTTGCAGGTTCGCACTTGTACATCTACTTCTTCGATCACTACCGCGTTCTGCGATCCATCCAAAGCTGCAACTACGCAGACAAGATGGTTGACTGGTGGTCTCAGTGGATGATGTGCATTCCCTGCGGCTTCATGCTTGCCTGTGTTGTATTCAAGGCCAATTGCCAGGAAGGATACCCTTGCGTGGATGGTGACACCATGATCGCTGGTTGCGTGCTCGCTTTCTTTGGCCACATCCTGCTGCATACACTGGCCATCAAGTTCGTCGTGCCAATGTTCGGCCTTTATGGAGAGTCTGACGGTGCAGAGACTAACACTTACAAAGACTGCTCCAAGCGAATCCCCTGCTCTTGGTTCACTGCGAACCCTGTCTTCTGCTTGCGCTCGCAGTACATCTACAAGCACAGCCCTCCCTGCACCTTCTGCCTCCCCGGCAAGGAGCACACACCGGGAGTGGAGCAAACTGATGTGCACTGACTTCATGCATGTGTGCCGTGTGCATAAGTAGCAGCATTGCATGGTCAGCTCTCTCTGCTTTGACATGCTGCAACATGTCTGTAAGTTTCTGTTGCAATCGTCGCCTGCCTCTTGTCACATGTCCGTTGTGACGACCACCAGTAACAGTACGCTAGGATCAGCAGAGCCGGCTGTTGCCGCTTGCTACTGCCAGCCGCTGCTTCGGGTCTTTCTGCCAGGAGCACCTTCTGGAAGTGAACGAGGACATCGGCCTCTACTTCGATGATGCCCCGGCTAAGGAAGAGGATTACGATGCCCCTCATGTGGATGTTGAGGCTGTGAAGGCCAACCTCCACGATCTCCGCGGCAAGGCTTCGGAGAGCTTCGAACAACTTCGGGGCGCCTTGGCTGGACTGGGATTTCTTCTTGGAATGGTATAAGTTGTGCAGATCAGACTCCTCACCTTAGCAGGCAGACCCCACAGTGAACCAAGCTCACATGAAAACGGCTAGACTTGTGACGCCGCGACGGTCCTCTGTTGATCCATGGGTTAATGTTTCTCATGGTCTCTCCACTTGTGTGTGGGAATGGCGCTATGACATTATGAAAAAGCACAGCCAATCACCGGCAGCTCCCGAGATCCAAGGAAAGGCAAGCGGGCAATTGGAAGAGCTTCGTGGCAAGGCATCAGGACACTTCGAGGCGCTGGTTTGCTTACTTGGGCCCGGTCCTTTAAACTCCGATGCCAGACTTTGGGAACAGTCCAAACAAACTTGATTCAGGAGCTGAACAAGCAGATGTCTGGCCGCTTTGAGGATTTGCAGGGCAAGATGACTGGGATGTCTGCTGGCATGTCCAGCACTTTCGAGGATATGCAGGGGAAGATGACTGGGATGTCTGCTGGAATGTCGAGCACCTTTGGGAATTTGCAGGGCAAGGCGCACCACCCAGCATTCCTGTTAGCTTGAAAGGATTCCTTGGTTGTTTTGCGGCAGCACACCCCAAATGCGAGCTCACACACAGCGGTGCCCTGCTTGCCAGATGACCGGCTCCTGGTTCGCGAGCAAGGAGGAGGAGAAGGAGGAGGAGACAGAAGCTGCTGGCTCCGGCGAGACCAGCGGGAAGTGAGGAGCACGGCCTAGGATGGCAGTGGCCCAGACTGAAGAAAAAAGCGACCCCAGTTGCATCCTCGCTCTCGATTGGTTGTTGAGCGCGTCTATCCTCTGCCAGGGCAGACAGCTGCAACTTCCGCAGCAGCTGGTGCGCAGATCTTGCATGGCTCAGGACAGCACCTGCTGCGCAACCCGGGGATCGTTGACAAGATCTTGAATGCTGCGGACCTCAAGCCTAGTGACACTGCCTTTGAGATTGGTCCAGGAACAGGCTGGAGCACAAGGAAAGTCGGCTTCAGGACTGTTCCAGTTTGCACTGCTCATGCGCCTAGTGGACAATGTGTTAGGCAACCTGACCCAGAAGCTCGTGGAGAGCTTCCCGTCTTGATAGAGCCAAGCCCTTTGCCTTTTCATTGTCTGCTTGGGCTCATGCCGCAGCCCAGGATTCTGCGAACTGCGAGAGGGTTCAACGTCACGTTGGTATATGGTTTTTCTGTTCCGAGTTTTTTGTTACTCCCGTAGCCAAGGCTGCAAGAAGGTCATTGCCTGTGAGATCGACCCGCGCATGGCAGCAGAGGTCCGTAAAAGGATCGCCTCAACCGGGCGCACCAACCTTGAGGCGAAGACTTGCCTGAATCTGCAGCCAAAGCTCGTGGCCTAAACGGGCCCGCAGATTTCGGTTGTGATCTTGTGTCTGGCAGGTCAAAGAAAATGATGTCCTGAGGGAAAAGTGGCCGATCTTCGATGTCTGTGTTGCGAATCTGCCCTACCAGATACTCAACTGCACGTCAGCAGCTCTGCTCCCATGGATTGCGGATCCCAGCCAGGTCGGAGAGGCATTCGCTTTGTCGGCTCCCCGTGCTTCACGCCGATTGCAGTGAGTCAGTGAAGCCGAGGATCTCCTCTCCCTTCACTTTCAAGCTGCTGGCTCATCGGCCAGCTTTTCGCTGTGCAGTGCTTATGTTCCAAAAGGAGTTCGCTGAGAACCTCGGCTTGACATAGAGGAAGGCTCAAGCCCCCCTGGAAGACAGGAAGGAAGAGCGAGAGCCAGCAAGCAGCATGAAGAGACAAGACATGTGGGTATGGCCTACTGTATCTAGTAGTTACTAGTTGGGCCCGAGGCGATTGATAGCCAAAGTCGGTGAGTCCCAGAGTCTTGGCTGAACTTAAGGAACTCGCCCAGTCTGCAGGCAGTCAGATCGCGAAACGACAGAGCCGAGGTATGGACGCCTCGCTGTCAACACGAGCTTGTTTGTGAAGGTCAGCTGTGTCTGCAAGGTCGGGCGAATGAACTTTACACCACCGCCGGAAGTCGACTCGATGGCCGCTGGCCGGCAAGTCTGCCCAGTCCCGAATCCCAGTGCAGTTCTGAGCTAACATGCATACAAGATTCAGTCACGGGAGTTCAGCAAGTTGGAGTAGATTGAAGTGCACCAGTCCGTAGCACTGACACCGACCCTGGCGAAGATGTGGACATGTGACATATGCAACTGGCGAGATGAATGGTCTAGACTCTGAAGTTACCTCGGCGACCTTGCTTCTTGCACTGCTAAGGTAGTCAAGGCCAGTTCTGAACGAGTGCACGGTAAGTTCGGCAGCCAAGCAGTGGAGCAGCTTAGAGCTAGACTGCTGGAAATTCTGGCAGTGAAGCTTGGAGGATACGGCTTGTGACATCTGTGCTGCCCTTGCAGATCGTGCCGAGATTTCCCCCGATCGAGGTTGACTTCCGCCCCTCAGCTTCACTATGCGAGCCGCTCGCAGGGCCTAGCAGCCTAGCAACTACTTAGCTACTTGAGTCAAGGTGCTCGCTTGTCAGTTGGTGACTTCGTCTGAGGAGAGTGGGATGGCCTCATGCGGATATGCTTTGGACGGAAGCGAAAAACCCTGCGGTCGTCTTTCTGCATGTCCTACACTCTGAAGACTTTGGAGGCGAGAAAGTGAGCTCTAGCAAGACCGTTTAGCACAGCATTGAACTCCGGAAAAGTCGCTCGTACCGTAGCGGCAGCAAGTGATAGCTCTGTCAGTGGACGAAACACGGTTTCAGCATGGAGGACAACTACACCACATGGTGCGCCTTAGCGGGCTGCAAGCCAGACAGGAGAAGCATGAAGGATGGGATGTGAACATCGGACTCCTTGCCTGTGGCGGGGCATTCGACCGTGTGTTGTCGACCTTTGATGACAGCGACTCCAAAGTCACTAGCAGACTTGCGTGAACACGTGGTCGGCACTGACATTTCTTTCCCTTTTGAATGGCATGGTGTTTGAGAGGACAAGGTGGTGGAGGTCTTATCGGCTTTGAAGCTCGCTGACAAGCGGGCTATCAAGAGACCTAGCTGAAGTTCCGCGTTCTGCGATAGTCCGGGGTGATTGAGAGTCGAGAGCATGTAGCTTTGGATCAGAATGGCAGTCAGAGAGGATCGACTTGGACACCTACTTCAAGCTGCTCTTGGAGTTTAACAAGTGGCCGGGCAACGAATGTGTGGGTGCGATCTAAGGCAGCCAATCCTACGTGTGCACTTCAGCTTGCCGAGGCGTGGAATTCACTTCACCAACATCAATGTCGGGGCGAAGATTGGCCACACGACTCAAAGCAAGCGAGAATAATGCGGACATGGCACATGCGGCCTGACAGTTACATGTTCGCACAGAAAAATTTCAGCGGAGCGGGCTGCCATATCTATCTGTGATTTGCCCACGCAGGGCACTTGGTGAGCTTTCGTGGAGGGATGATACAGGTAAGTTGATGGCCTCGTCGCTTCCAGTCATCTCACACGAGAAACCACAATTGCCTAAACTGTGTGGTAACACTGCGCGGAGGATTTGACATAGTCGCGCCGCACATTGTCGCTTCGTTTATTCCGTGAGAGAAACTTGCATCATGTGAGATTTTGATTTTTTAATGTTGCCTCATTTGGCAGCTGATCTGTGCGGAAGACATAGTCAAGTGGGGAGTTTGGCTGAGGCGGCACATCTGCTAAATGATAATTCGCGCAGGTGTCCTAAGGTAAGCTCATTGAGAACAGAAATCTCATGTGTACAAACAGGGGAAAAGCTTGCTTGATTTTGAT